ACAGAACGAGAGCAACCACTTTGCTTCTGGCGCAAGTGATCAAGTAAACCCGCTGAGTTAGCTGTGCAAATTGACACCTGATTCTCTGCAAAACAATCCCATGATCACAGATACCCAAAGCCTCAAAGACAAAATGTTGTCCTAGAAATAGCCACACGATTTGTGTCTACAGTAAAGGTTGTCTGATCTACAAGAATCCTCTACTTTTACCAATTCTTCTGCTCCTTCTATCATTGTTATTTCGAGAATCCTTATATTTTGCATCAATCCTTTCAAGGAACCATTAGAAGGATACTTATGGGTTATGATCCCAGCAATTATCGATGTGTTTACTTTTACTGGGGCATTTGTCTCTGTTTTTGACTTGTCTGTTGTGTTGTGATATTTCTCACCAACATTCTCCCTCCCGCGCCCTCTCGCTCCCTCTCGGGTTACGAGATGGGTGTGTTGGGGACTTGGCTGCGGACAGTAGTCTTTCGTACATATTCTAGAATTAAAACGGGGCCGTTCCCTCTTAAAGTTTGGAGGGATGACTTTTCGGGAGGGGAGTCAAATCCTTTTTCATCATAAAATAATAACCCTTATATTTTTATATAGTGCCTTCTCGAATCTTCGACATCTCTCAAAACTTATGCCCGTCTCTACTGTAAAGTTTAGTGACTGTGCGTCTCGTGTGGGAAAAACGGCAGCCAATTGTGCACAGCAGTATCTCACACACAGTCAAGGATTCAGTGACCACATGATTCTTTTCCTTTAGGTTATTCCCGGAATACAGTCCCGCAATTAACTGATGTTCGGGTTCTTGCTTATTGCTAGGTAAACAGAGGTGTGTGGGTGCGTGGAGTGAGGAAACTTGCCTTATGTTTCGCCCTGACCAGAACGGCAATCTAACCTGGTTTCTCTCGCAAGTGAGGCGAATGCTCTAATTGCTCAGCTGCAAGTCTCCATGACTGCTTGTCTCCAGGCCTTTGCGCTCACATCCATGACCCATGACCGATCCTGACATCCTCCACCATTGCAACGTTACTCGACTCCGTCACTTACTTTCCCCTGAGGCCGCTATGATCCTCATTCACACATTCCTCACATCGAGGCACGATTAAGCTGACTCGTGTTTGTCAGCGTCCCCAGTATTATTTAGAACTCTACAGCTCGTATCGTCTCCCACCCCAGGCTCCGTAAACCTATCACTTCCACCTTACCCGGATCCATTGACTTCCCATCCCCCAGAGGATTAATTTCAAAATCTTCTTCTCAACTTTAAAGGCCACCCACAGACTTGCTCCTCACGAGCTCTGTGAACTGCTAACGCACATTTACACAATTGGGATAAGAAAAGGGTGGCACGCATCTATCAAACCTCGTGTAATTGTTTCTGTGATTGTCGTGGCTCAATGAGTGTGATCATGCCTGTGTGTTTCTGTCTCACTCTATATGTGTGGGTGAGTACATCAGTGTGTATGCCTCGGTAGAGTGTAAGGGAGAGGGTTAATCTTATTCGTGTCTTTCAGTACATGTATGTGTTTGTTTCTGACTCATTGTATGTGTGTGTGTGAGGGCGTCAGTGTGTGTGGCAGAGACAGGCAGTGAGAGGGTTAATCCTATGATTGAGGTTCAATGTACTTATGTGTGTGAGTGAGTGTGTTTTGTGGGGAGGACTTTTGTTCACACAGTTAGCAGCGAGAATGAGGAATTATCCCTTATAAAGTGAGGTTGAGGCTGCGGCTGTTGATATTTTATAAAATAAACTGATGTCCATGATGAATGATAGAATGGTAAAGGCTTCTGGGCAATGAGCAATGGAGAGATAAATGCAGCACATTCTCTGAGGCGGTGGGCGGTTGCCATCAAAGCCCACACTGCCCTGGCTGTGCTGTCCGTCTGAGCTGTTCCCAAACTTCCACTGTGTCAATTGGCACAAACCTGTTGGTTTCAAGGCCTACGTTGTGGCTTTGTGCTGATGCCCCAGTGCGGGTTGGAGGATCAGTACATTATTGGGGAGGCCAAACTGTGAATGGGATGTTACGCTGAGAGTCACGCCATGCACCTCCACGTGTTTCCTCCGTCATCCACCTCAGTGGGAAAGCAATCGCCTGGTTCGAGTCCTACCTCACAAACTGCCATCTGCAGTTACATCTGCACAAATGGCTCCTCCTCCCGCTCTCAAAAGGTCACCTGCGGGGAGCCCCAAAGATTCATCCTTGGCCCCTTCCTCCTTCTGATCTATACGCTCCCTCTTGGGGATGTCATCTGCAGACATGGGGTACAATTCCACATGTATGCAGACGACACGCAACTCTATTTTTCCACATCACTTTGCGACCCCCAGTCCCCTGATGTGCTGTCAGCTGCCTGTCAGGCTTCAGAAGCTGGAAGAGCGCGAATTTCCTTCACCTGAAGGTTGACAAGATGGAAGTCATATCCTTTGGCTCTCGTCATCGTCTAAAATATCAAGCTTCTCACCTCCTCCTCCTTCCCTACGTCCCCCCTAAAATGATCAAGTCCGCAAGGTAGGCGTCTGATTCGACCCCAATTATCCTTCCTCCTCCACATCCTGTCCCTCACCATCACCGCTTTCGTGCACCTCCGATGCATCGCCCTTCTCCGCCAATACCTCTCTCCGAAAGTCAGAGAAACCCTGGCCTATGCGTTTGTCACCTTTAGGCTGGTCTATTCAAATGCCGACCTTGCCGGCCTCCAATCCACTGCCATTCGTAAAATCCACATTATTCAAAACGCTACCGCCCGAATTCTCACCCGCACGAAACTCCGATACAGGTTCACAGGAGTCCTGGCCAGACTGCACTGGTTGCCTACCTCAGAGAAGACCGACATCAAGGTCCTCACCTTGTCTTCAAATCCCTCCACTCCTCTGCACCCCCTGACCTCTCTGACCTCCTCTCTCTTCTAAATAATAATAATAATAATAATAATCCTTGCATTTGATATAGCGCTTTTCACGTCGGGAGGACGTCCCAAAGCGCTTCACAAAACACACTGTAAAGTGAATTGACTGTATATTTTTGTGCCAACGCGGCAGCCAATTGCGCACAGCAATGTCCCACAAACAGTCGTAGATTGAAAATGACCAATTTAATTATTGTTTTTGGAGGGATTATTATTAGGCGTGTGGAGTAAGTAAACTTGCCCAAGGTTTCGCCCTGCCTGGAATTGAACTCAGGTCTCTCACTTGCAAAGCGCGTTCTCTAACCACTGAGCTGCAGGACTCCACAACAGTGCACGTTGCCTCCGTTCCTCCGCGTCTGGCCTGCTCAGTATCCTCCGAGTCCTACACTCCACCATCGGCGGCCTATCCTTCAGCCACTAAACCACTACACTGTGGATCTACCTTCCTCACTCTCTTCGCCTCGCGCCATCTCTTTCTATAACCCGATGTCTGCTGAAGACCTTTCTTTCCGACCGCGCCTTTGGTCACATTTCCCACTCTCCCTGGCTCGGCCCCGGGATCATTTACTATGAACCGCTCTTGAGACGCTGTCCGGCTTTCAGGGTGCCATATATACACACAATTTGATCTTGCTGTTTTCTCTTGACGTGAAGAGCGCTACACGTGTAATTTATTGTTGTATATTCTTATTTCCTCTCAATATCATCATCCATAACCATCTCCACCCCATCTTCAGGTGAACTGCTCAGCTCTAATAAAATGGTGCCCAGCTCAGCACTAACAACATGGTGACAAGCTCAGCACTAAAACCATGGTGACCAGCTTAGCACTAAGACCATGGTGACCAGCTCAGGACTAACTAAATAGTGACCAGCTCAGCAGTAACAACATATTGACCAGATCAGCACTAAAACCATGGTGTCCAGTTCAGTACAAACACCATGGTGATCAGCCCAGCAGTAACACCATGGTGACCGGCTCAGCTCTAGTACCATGGTGAGCAGCTCAACACTGACAACATGGTGACGACATCAACACAAACACCATAATGACCAGATCAGCACTAAACCCATGGTAACCAGATCAGCACTAGCACCTTGGTGACTAATTCTGAACAGCTGTGACTGAGCACACTGTAGGTTTGGTGAAGAGCTACACAAAGCCTGTGTTCTCTCTGTAACTTTGCTTTATATGATGATAGTCTGTGTGACTTCGCACGTTCTGGATGAGAGCTGTTTTTAGGCTGATTTTCGCCAATGGTGATGGTTATTTCATTTGTGACCCTGCGGTGAAATATGAACTGATAAACATTTCCTTTTTAGTGATAAAATTTAATAAAAGATTAGAAAGCTTACGCAAAATCAAACTGTTACATTTCATCATATCAAATTAATGCTTACTAAGGGTTAACAAATTTTACTGCAATGAGTTGATCGGATCAATGTAATGGCTTTGATGTATGAATCGATTGGATGTGCACACTCTCTCTGTACATTCAAACTCTTTCCACATCTTGCTGTCTCTCGCTGTCCTTTCATACACTTTTCCACTCTTTCTCCCTCTCATTGTTACACTCTTTCACTCACTCAATTCGCCCCACCCTCACCCAAACATACTCTCTCTCAACTCTCATATTCTCTGCTCTCTTCCTATCTCTTTCTTTCCCTCACTATCTCCCTCTCTCTCACACTCTCCACCACAATCTATCTCTCAATCACGATCTCACTCTCCCCGTTTCAATCTCTGTCTCCTACCCCTATTTCTCGCCTTATGCGAACAGCCAGTATCTCTCCCTGTGACACTCTCACTCTCAATCACTCTCTTCTTCTCTCCCATCACCACCTTCTTTAATTCTCAATCACACAGTATCATTCTGCTCCTCTCACAATCACTTTCATCCCCTCACTCTCAATTACTCTTTCACCATCCCTCACCCCTCTTTCGCATACGCACTCTGTTTCTGCCCTCTCATATGCTCTCTGCTTCACTCTATCCGTGCTCTCCCTTCTAAATTATTCTCTGAATTACGCAATAACATTTCTGATTCCAGCGTTCACCTTCACCCAATCTTGATTCTTCTCTCTCTCTCTCATTCCCTGACGCTCTCTCATTCAATCTCTCACCCTCTCACACACAGGATCTCATTCTATTATTTCCCTCTGTCTCACTGTTTCTGACTCAGTGTTTCACTCAATCTTACTCAATCAGTTTCTCTCTCACTCCGTCTTTCTTGCAGCCAGTCTCTCTCTCTCTCTTTCTTACTCCGTCTCTCACTCAGTGTCATTTAATCACTCAATCGCATTCAATCACAAACTCTCTCTCAGGCTCACTTATTTTCTCTCCCATTCTCAGTCCCTCTCTCAATCTCTCTCTACGTCTCACAAATTCAGTCTCTCTAACTCTCATTCAGTCTCTCTTTAAATTTGTCTCTCACGAAGTCTCTCAGGAAGTCTATCATTCTTTCTCCGTCTCTCATGAAGTCTCTCAGGAAGTCTCTCAGTCATAAACCGTTTCTCCCTCGCTCCCTCTTCCGTAGTGTCTAACTCAGTCTCCTTCCGGGTTAGGATGACACGTGATGTGAGAGCCCCGTTCATGTCAGACTAAAGCTGGAATCGAATATAGGTGATGGTGGGTTGATAGAGCCAGGACAGAAAGCAAATAATGGCCATTGGCCACCGCACTAAACTCTGACTGTGGCGTAGACAGCACCATCTTCCTCATCGGCTTCACGGCCTTCCTCATTTCTCTTTCCTATTGCTAAATTGGCGTAGATGATTTCAGCGTCCTGAAAACAGGCAAAAATTAGCACGTCTGCTGAAGATCAGATGGAAATCCCCCTCACCACAAACCCACCACCCAGAACACCCCGATTCACAGCTCCGGAATGTGAATCTTCCTGGGTGTGCACCCCACCTACAGCCCCAAGTATCCTACGGATGTGAACATTCCGGCAAAGGGGAACCGAACGCTGACAAATCCCCTCGTAAGTAATAGTGATGATAAAACCATGCATTTAGGAATTATTTCTGAGGTGAATGGCGCTGTTTGAGTGCAAAATTTAAACACACACACACATACGCAGAAACACACACACACATTCACACAATCACACAAGTACACACACACACAAGCACAGGCAAACAGAGAAACAAAGGCACACGCACAGACTGACGCAACCACATAGACAGACAGCCCGACATACACACAATCACACACACGCGTTTCACGTTGACAGAACAGCTCAAATAGGTACACAACATTTATTATCAATTGGACGAACTTCATAACCGAAACAAAACGCAGTAACCAAATGTTGCACAGAAACGTCCTACAAACACACAGTCACTGCTCTGTGCAGCAAATCATGCTAAGCTCTTTGAGACATCCTCTTCATGTAAATTATTTATAACAAATGCATGGATTATTATTACTTTTACGAAATGAGCTAACATTTTTTTTCGACCAGGAAATGAGGAGATTCTCCCTTCTTTTTCTCAGTATTGCTAAATTCCCGACTTTAGGGTTTGGCCCATGAATTTCTAGGTCAGGCGAAAAGTGCTACCGGCCAGCCAGAGTGACACAGAGCCTGAGCTGGGTTGAGCCAGATTGGCTTAAATCCTGAGCGAAAGTGACACATGGTCTGAATTAGGCTGAAACTAGGCATGAGCTGAGCTGCAGAGGACCTGAGTTGGGCTGACAGAGGGATAATGGTACCGACACTACTCACCGCTGGAGGCATCGAGCGTGGAACAATTCTCACAGTTGCATCTGGAACAAACGGAAACGGGATTTTACCATCTCACTGCTGTTTGGTATTATTATTAAAGATATCAGTGATTACAATGAATAATTATGAATGACCATGACAATGATTATTTAGCAAAGAGTAATACATTATTAATCATTTCACTGGAATTAAATCCTTATCTCTACTTCAAAAAGTCCGAAAGCTGTCATAACATTGACGGTGCAGAGCATCAATTGTGTATTTTGCGAATGAAACACAGAAGCCGTTCGTGTCCAGCATCCACAGAAAGATACACACACGCACAAACACGCACACAGTGTGTGAACGATTTTTGGTGGCGGACTGTTGGCCAGAGGGAGATTGTTGAGCGGGAAAGCCAAATTCACGTTTTTGAATAACGACGCTGGACCTTTAATGTCCACATGAACATTCAGAAGGGACCTCGATTTATCGTCTCATCTAAAGGAGAGAAAACTTCAAGCGGCTCAATTTGAGAGAAGCGATTGCAAGTCAGACACACAGATTTTTATGCCGACAGACAAACACAACGAAAAGCACACAGAAAGACACACAGGTAGATCAAGATAGGAGAGTGGCAGAAACACAGGTCGACGCACAGTAAGTCACACAGACAGAATAAGAGAACGTGAGTGGAGACAATCAGAAACATAGACTGAAAGAAATGGCGAGAGACAGCTTCAGGCAGCCTCTGGTATGCGAGACGCTCAGGTGCAAGTGATTCGTTTCTGAGGTGTACGGGAACAGGGCTGACAAGGACTGTTTCTGACCAGCTCCTTTCACTCTGGACTCAAAGCCAGGAAACCAATTGCTTACATGTGACGCTGCTGTTTTGTGGGCCGCCTCCCATGGGTACATTCCTAAGGAAAAAAAGAGCAGAGGGCGATTAATTACTGCTGTTCTACTGATGATATTTAGAGAGCTCAGAACTATGCTTGAAACGGAGCTAAACACCAAATATTGTCTCTCATCTGGCGGAAAGTACCGCGAAATGGCACTGACAGAAATACTCTTGAAGGAGCATCATCACAGTCATGTGGGGTCGAATCGCCGCTTTCTGTCCTGTCGCTGTCTCTGGTGCTACAGTTGGAAAAAGCAGCAGAAAGTTTGCCAGACGGTGATTTCAAAAGCTGGTAAAATGGCAGATCCCTGACTTGGAGAGAGTAAATTTTGGTAAATGGTTTCTGTGATATACAGAGCCCGATGACAAAACAAAATTGTGTGTGTGGGTGTAGCGGGGGGCGTGTTTGGGGCACGGATAGATTTGTGCTGAAAACTATCACCACGGTAACAGGTATCCACACCAGACGTTGAGTTCCAGTCATGCCTCCGACCCTTGGAAATTGCTGTGTTTCTGATGTTCATGCAGTAGCTCTGCCAACCTGATCGCAATGAGCCCAAGAGTCAGGATGGCGAGAGTAAATGTTTGTCGACCTCAACGTGTGCATTGGGGTAAAGGCTGGGGTCTCAATACTTAAAATCACAAAGCTTGCTATTTGGTGCTCTCTCTGGCAAGCTATGTCTGCCAGTCGTGATTGAACCAATCAACCCGTTAGGGATACTTCTTGCAAGGAAACAGAAGCTGAGTGGGAGGTATACTTGCCCACGGTATCTGTCTGCCCTCCAAGTCTTGCCGATGAGGGTGGGAGTGAGCACCAGTGCAGACAATATGGGGAGAGAGCATGGAATGGGATTAAATTGGAAATGGTCAGTGGGGTTCGAGAAGCAGCATAGCAACGCTGGGGTGAGAACAGGAATTTAAATACTGTAACGATCTCCATTGGGGATGGCAGCACCTGCACAGGCAGGATGGGAAGTGAGCATGGAAGAGTGGAGAAATATCCTCACCTTTCCATTATTCGACTGTTCTGTTTACCTGTAAGTACAAAACGTAATAAGTACCAATTACTAGTTAACACTAGTTGTATATTTTTGTGGTTTTACGGTTAGTAATATCCGCTTTTCATCCGGCGTCAAAAGGGCTTGACAGGGATGGTTAGCAAGAGCAGAACCCAACCAAACCTCCCACACACTAATGCCATCATTGGATTTGCCTTCAACCACTCCACCGCGCGCTCTCTCCAAATACGTTCCAGACACCTCGCATATTAACTCAAGAGTGTCCCAACAGAGAGCCATAGAATGAGTGACCAATTTTATTTTGGGGATTGTTGGCCAGGATACGAGGATAATCTCCATCATGTTGTCGATTGGTGCCACAGGATCTGCATTGTCCATATGATCAGACACTCGGGACCTCTGTTTAACGGTCTCACGGGTGGTACAGGCGGAAAAAACATAACAGTAAACAAAGAGTCTCAAACTACAATACGTTCTGTACTGTATTGCAAACAATCATGTCAATCAACAACAATAATTTGGATGTACAATGCGTGCTCCACGCCACATGGCGTCTCAGCTCGCTTCACAGTAACGGAAACCGTGGCCGAACCAATGGGAGGGGGCAGAAGTTGAACAAAGTCGCGGTGGAAAAGAAAGATCTTCAGCCGAGACCTCAAAATAGGAAGAGAGGGGACGATGCGAAGGGAGTGAGGAAGGGAGCTCCAGATTTACAAGCCAAGATGATCCTCGACTATAGCCTGTAACCCCACTAATGTAACGTTATCTAACTTAAGTATAAAAATGCCCATTACAGATTACGCTGACATATTCGTTGACTTTTCTTCCTAAATCAGAATCATGATGTTGTATATTCGCTTCCAATAATACATGAGTTGACAAACACCGAAGACTGATTCGGTACCTTTGTGCTCAGTTCTCCACCTGCACTCATTGTCGAAGAAGATTAGCAATACACAATTACTTTCACTTCCTTTATTCCCAGTAACTTTAAACTGTACTGACTGATATCTATATTCTCCCTTGAGCCGAGAAGATTAAGGGGGATTTAATAGTGGTTTTCAAGATCATGAGATGATTTGAAAGGTTGAATCGGGAAACACTGTTTGCACTGATGTGGGTCAGTATCCCGAGGACACCATTTAATATAGTCAGTAAAAGAAACAGAGCGGAGCTAAGGAAAATTGTGTTCACCCGGCGAGTTGTTGGGATCTGGAATGCATTACCTGAAAGGGCAGTGGAAGCAGATACAACAACAACTTTTAAGCGAGAAGTAGACGGGTATTTGGGGAGGACAGGATCACAGGGCTTTGGAGAGTGGGATTGAGTTGGATGGCTCTTTTCAGAGCCGCCGCAGACACGATGGGCGGAATGGCCTCTTTCTGTGCTCTATGATTCTATGATATGTTCAATTCAACAACGGTTACACGTGCGATATCACACCCTTTAGCTGAGATCATAATTAATATCTAGAAGGTTCCAGTAATGAGCAATACAGTTCAAATATCCCTCTCGATTACAAATGTAGAGAGTAACAACTGAATGACTATCACCAGCTCAAAGTATTTTCTGGAGGAAAAAACTAACGTTTCTTTAACTGCTTCTGTCAATTATTTTTAACCATGTTATATCCCACAAACACTCACCTGTCATCTCCTATATAAATGAGCTGTAGACTTTCTCCATTTGAAAACCAGTCAAAACCGGGCAACCGAGTTTGTATTGATTGAATTTTGTGTCCCGGGGGAAGTGGTGTACCAGGGGATGGGCTGTCCCAATGGGAGAGTGAGTAATTCTGAAGAGCGCCTTTTCTGAAACAAAGAATATTTCTCTGAAATATCTCAAACGAATTATCAGGCGGTATGTCAAGGGGTGGTGTGTGAACCAGAGACAGGCCATGTGTGGAAGAAAGCAGGGGCAGTGTGTGACCCGCAGCCATACATTGTGAAGAGGGACAGGATGAAGAATGTGTGAGCCAGAGACAGGTCTTGTGTGGAATAATAATAATAATAATAATAATTCTTGCATTTGATACAGCGCTTTTCACGTCGGTGGGACATCCCATTATTATTATTATTATTATTATTATGGTGGCCCTGAGGGGACACAAGCGTGATGGCCTCGCTGACATTCAGTTGGAAAAAGTGAGCTCTCATTCAGGACTTGAGGTCCGACGGCCAATCTGTGAGCTTAGCTGTTGTCCTGGAATCTCACCTCCTCTCCTTCTCACCACAACCTTCATGGTTCTGTCATTCCGTGTCTCACACAATCTGCACTTTGTCTCCACAAGTGGCCTCTTCTCCACCCCCTGCACAGTCTCGGGCAGTGTTCCTCAGGTCTCTGTCCTTGGTCCTCTCCTCTTCAAATTATACGCGCTGGTTGTTTAAAGCGGAGGGCGGTGTTTGTGGAGGAGGTCTGGTTATATCGGATTCCGTGAAGCATTGCAGCATGTTTTATGATCCCGCCCAATATGTGCCCACATCATGTCCGGGCTGCCCGCTCGCAATAACTCAATCCCAGAGGGCACTCAAGCCCTTCGTGAGGGGCCCTTAATTGATGCAAATTGTTGTTCTTAACGTTTTCCATCCCAGCGATCGCTCTCTCACACACTTATTTCTCAGTCCGTATGATGATATTTCTCATTGATCAGAGTCTTGTTTACCTTTCACTTGCCATCAATTGACAACCCACAACATCTCGGCTCTCAATATTATATAATAATAATAATAACAATAATAATAATAATAACCCTTGAATTTGATATAGCACTTTTCACGTCAGGAGGACGTCCCAAAGCGCTTCACAGAACACACTGTAAAGTGAATTTACTGTATATTTGTGGGTGAACGCGGCAGTCAATTGCACACAGCAATGTCCCACAAACAGTCGTAGATTGAAAATGACCAATTTTTTTATTGTTTTGGGTTTTGTAGCGAGTATTATTATTAGGCTCTGTGTGGAGTAAGGAAACTTGCCCAAGGTTTGTCTCTAACCTGCCTGGTATTGAACTCAGGCCTCTCACTTGCAAAGTGAGTGTTCTTACCACTGAGCTACAGGACTCCACAATTGTGCGAATATAATATAAATATAAATTTTAAAAGGTTCCATACAGTCACTACATAAACAGAGCTGCATAGACGCAACTTATATGGATTCTTCTTGTCATTTATGTAAAAAAATTCAATAACTGTGTACTGCTTGATCCGGATTTATTTTCTTCTGCGGTTGATTTTTTTTACGTATTTTCTTTTAATTCACAATCAACAATTTAATCCGAGTATTACATGTGCAATTGTCAAGTGAATAAAGTACCTTGTTTGTTCACATGTCTGGAAGTAATTGCACTCATGATCAATCTGTAGATTCTGGCTTCCTATAAGTACAAGCATCTTTTCGTGTGACTTCAGTGCGTTCATTGAAGCCACTGCTCACAGCAACAATATTTCGAACAGAATATGGAGTTTTCAACGCTGTTTGCCATAATATCAATCTACTACCCCATTCTTGTAGCATTTGGGATTCCAGGTCAGTCAGTTTGGTCTCGTTTATTGACAATATTCAATAGGTTACTGCGTTGGGTGACAGCAGATATTTTTACAAGTTGACATATCAGTTTATTCGCGGTGGTACAGAGAAAGCGAGGAGAATATATTGAATGACAGAAGATTAAGCTGAGCGGCCATGTCTCCTAAATGTCTCTTGTTCCCTTTTATCGACCATTTGAGGCCATGAAATCAGCCACTGCCCATCTCAAACTCCAGAACTCTCTCTCTCAATCCGCCACTGTGTTGTCTGCTCAACTCTCTTCAGATCTGATCTGAGTACCTTCCAGTTTGATGGGGCCTACAGTCACTTGCCAAGTCTCTCCCCAGTTTGTGGGTCAAGCACCGCCACACCTCAACTCTCTGAGACGCTGACTGTATGAAGGACGCTTTCTAAATGTCAGCTGTTTTTGTTGATAGTTTTCTGGGATCACATGGAACCACAAATAAGGAAACTGGAGCGATAGTTCTACCTTTGTACCTCCAGCCGCAGCTGGAGATGTGCATTCAGTTTTGGGACGCGCTTTTCAGGAAATAAGTTAAAGCTTTGGAGAGGTGAGAAGCTTTACAAGAATGACACCAGGGGGCAATTCCGGGACACTAACTGATGTCGAAACCAATTGAAACATTTGTAATAAAACGGTGCTGAACACAACACAGATTTACGTTTCTAATCAAACTCTCCTAGATAAATGCATGATTTCCTAGATCACCAATCAATAACTACTTTGAGGGTGTCCCTTCACGCTTAAATGATTTACTGTAAACTGCACTGACTGAATTTTGCGTGCAAAAACATTTGAAACAACTCAAAGACAAAGAAACCGAATATGATACAGCTTTACACTTTTAACCTACTACGGCAACAACACGATTACATTTGTATAGCGCCTTTGACGTCGGGCGGACGTCCCAAGGCTTTGACCTAACAATTTTTACTCATGTAAATTAAGTTTCCTATTTCTATTGCTTCTCGCAGTTAATTTAGTGACGATTGTGATCCTGTCAAGAGGAAAATGCGGTCTCTCCAACTACATCACTCGCTACTTGGTGGGCATGGCAGTGGCTGATCTCCTGGTTGTGTTTGTGGATGTTTTTTTGAACAAAATTAATAATCTGCATTTCCCATTTAACATCTTATTCTACACTCCAATGTGTAGCGTTAGAATTGTGTTCATGTCTATAACTATGCACAGCTCTTTGTGGTTCACAGTTGCTTTCACTTTAGACCGTTTTGTAGCCATTTGCTGCCAAACGTTGAAACCAAAATATTGCACTGAGAGGACGGCCACAGTGGTTATTGTAATTCTGATTGTTTTCAGCTGCTCCGTGAGCATTCCCTGTTACTATATGTTTGATCCATATTTTAAACTTAATGGTACCCCGTGGTACTGTGTCTTGAAACCAAGTTTTTTTTACCTTGGACACTTGGATAGCCTTTCAAAGGGTTCAACGGGTTATTGCTCCCTTCTTTGGTTTTGCTCTGATTTGCCTGTTCAATGCTCTGATCATCAGACACATTGTGATGGCCAGTAATGTTCGCAGAAGGCTTCGTGGTCTGAGAAATGATCAGAAAACCAATGAAGGAGCATAACCCGTTGAACCCTTTGAAAGGCTATCCAAGTGTCCAAGGTAAAAAAAACTTGGTTTCAAGACACAGTACCACGGGGTACCATTAAGGTTTAAAATATGGATCAAACATATAGTAACAGGGAATGCTCACGGAGCAGCTGAAAAACAATCAGAATTACAATAACCACTGTGGCCGTCCTCTCAGTGCAATATTTTGGGTTTCAACGTTTGGCAGCAAATGGCTACAAAACGGTCTAAAGTGAAAGCAACTGTGAACCACAAAGAGCTGTGCATAGTTATAGACATGAACACAATTCTAACGCTACACATTGGAGTGTAGAATAAGATGTTAAATGGGAAATGCAGATTATTAATTTTGTTCAAAAAAACATCCAC